ATTATTATTATTATTATTATTATTATTATTATATATTATTATTATTTATTATTATTATTATCATTATTATTATTATTGTTATCATTATTATTATTATTATTATTATTATTATATATTATTATTATTATATTATTATATTATTATTATTATTTTATCATCATCATCATTATATTATTATTATTATGGGGGATGATGACTCGTACTGTGTTAATTGCTTATTTCACATTGTAAACGAATAAGTCTGATTCTTCTTTTCTTTTCTTTTTTTATCATTATTCTTTTTACTTGGCTTGGCCTCGGCACAGAAGCAGCGGTTTCTGGCTTGGGCAAGACATCAAAGGCCGTAACGAGTGGTTGCTAATGTGTCTTGCAATTACTGAGGCCTAATGATGTCGTTTCCTTTTGATTCGTGATTTATTCTCGCTTTTTGAGGTTAATCATCATTGTTATTTTTTTTTGTAGTGGGTTTTTTTTGTATGTTTATAAGTTAGTGTGATAGTTCCCGGTATATGATTGATGAGAGAAGAAACTTTAATGTGAATATACTCGATTTATTGATTACGGTTGATGTGCATACTACATACGAAGGGAAAGATAAGAATGGTAGAAAAATATTACATAACACCATTACAGAACGTGTCAGTAATTATAAATTACAGCATGACAAAAATGCACGGCAATAAATAACAACAGCATTACAGGAAAAATAACATATCAATTACAGTAAAAAAAAAAACAAAATCATTACAGCACTGCAGAAATACCAGCAATAAATAACATGACATCACAGAAAACACCAATGACAAATAACATGACAACATAACAAAAAATACCAATAATAGATAAGAAAATGGGAGTCTGAAATCTCACATTTTTGCTTAACCTTCCTCTTTCTTTTCCACAGGAGCGAAAATGGGAGTCCCTACGGTGCTAGCAGAGGCCTTTGCCGTTGTGGGGAGGACGAGTATGTGTGCACTCTGCCGCCGGAGGTTAGGAAAGTGGCCTCCAGGGACCTGATGGAGGACGAGGCCACGAGGGTCGCGGGCTGAAGGCCATGAGGGAGTTCGTGCCAGGAACAACGGCCATCACCAAGTGCAGGCTCGTGAGTTGGGGGGTTTGGTGTGTGGCGGGTCTGTGGGTTGCGCGGGCGCGTGCTCGGTCCCTCCGCCACTGTTTCTGTGTCTGTTAGTTTGAATGTTTCTTTTTCTTTGTCTCTTTTCTGACTCGCTGTCTCTGTGTGTCTCTCTGTCTCTGTCTCTCTCTGTCTCTGTCTCTGTCTCTGTCTCTGTCTCTGTCTCTGTCTCTGTCTCTGTCTCTGTCTCTGTCTCTGTCTCTGTCTCTCTCTCCCTCTCTCCCCTCTCTCCCTCTCCCTCCTCTCTCTCCTCTCCCTCTCCCTCTCCCTCTCCCTCCTTTCTCCTTTGCTCCTTTCCTCTATTCCCCCTCCTTTCCCCCTTTTCTTTCTATCCCCTCTTCCCCTTTTCTTTCTCCCCTCACTCCCAAATCGCCCCAAAACAAACTCTCACGCAAGTCTCTCACTCACGCAAATATACGCACGCATGGCTTCTAATACCGTGCTACATTTTGACTGCTTTCAACGTTATAATTTCTGCCACTATCCCCCTGGCCAAATGAAACACCTGAGACGTGAATTATCGACACTTGACTGCTTGCACCTTCGGTCGAGTGAGGCAACTAATAAGTCAGTATTCCAGGCAATCCCCCCCCTTCCCTTTCTTGTCATTTGGTGTTATTTTCTAAAGCTTTTAGATACAGTCGATGGTATTTCTACTTTCGTGATTTAGGTTATTGTTATTACTGTTGTATGAATAGCACAAAACTTGACTGTTTGTCCATAAACTTATTTGCAAAGGCAGTGGTTATAACAGTAAGAATTAGTAGTTAATGGCTAAGTAGAACCATAATATAAAAAGGTATATAAATGATAATTAACGCAGATATGTAAGTTAATAAGTAAACGGCCAGATCATTGAATAAACCAAGGGTATAGGTAAAGAAGCGAATCAGATGAAGAAGCGAAGAAAAATTACCTTGAGTAAACATGACACACAACACATCATACAGCAGACATTCCCGCAAAGTTTAGCAAAACAGCAAATGTTTGGGGAAAGAGAGAGGGCTTAGTGCATTAAACCCCCTCATGATTTCACCGGCAAAATTTAAAGGGATCAGTCTGGTTTCACCGAGTTAATGCGGCGTCAGAATGAAAGGGAAATTTAGTAATTACCAACTGCCTGTGATGGTTGCTTGCCCCTGGTGTCGTGTCTGAGGTAAACAGAGACCACGTGCTGGGTTTCCCTGCGCTGTATGGGGGGACTAATGCATTTTTTATTGTTTACTTTTGTGTTATTTTATTGTTAATTTCAAAGAAGGCTGATCTTGATTATTGTAGTTATTGTACAGCTTGTAGGTAGAAAAATTTATTAATGTGTTATTTTTGATATTTGTTGTTTAAATTTGTAGTACATAATACAGTATATAT